GCAAATGAATATTGTATGTCACTGTTTTACCTCCCCTGCAACTTATCAGTGAAAGTTCCACCAAAGAATAGTTCCAGCTCTTATGCTTCCTTAGCCAGTAAGGGAACTGCAAATGAAATCTAATGCTTGGTAACGGATGTGTTTAATTGTGGAGAAAGAAAAGGCTAGAAGGCATGAAGCATAAGAGTATTGGATTTTAGCTGGATTCTGTGTTTAGTTATCATACAGATGAATATCTGAAAGTTAATCTGAAATATAATTTTGGCATGCATCGATCATGAACTTGTCAGTATGTTGTTATGGTTCTTATGCATTATCACCATTATGGTATCTGAATTAAATGTAGAAAGCAGCAGTTTATGGAAAGTTAAGTTCCTGTTTTGATAAAAAATAAAGTCATAGAGTAACCAGAATGCAATCACATTTGCTAATGCTTCTTTCAGCTAAGCCTTACTGCATATTTGCTTCTAGCATATTGTTAGCTAACATGCTGATGCTGATGGACTCAGAACATTCATGCCCTAACACTGTGCTATTGTGTTGTTGTTCGGACTTCTGAACAAACTGGGGAATTCTGAGGTATTTCAAACTGAAATAAAGAAATAGTAGTATTTTATTTAAAGCACTAGCCAGCAGTCTTGGTCTGAATGAAAGAAAGAAGAGGACAGGGGAGGGGAGGGGGAGGGAGGGGAGGGAGGGGAGGAAGAAAAGAAAAGCAGGGAAGAGAAAAATTTTAAAATAGACATAAACTCCAAATTAAATTACTGTGTTATTTATCATTTGATTACTTATTATTGCCAGATATATACCTGAAATACTGCAGTATTCAGAAATTAATTTAGTAAAGGATAACTACGTCAGAAGTAATGGCTCAAGGATTTCACATACAAAAAAGATATTACCAGAAGGGAGCAAATTGTTGTATACTGGTTGTTCCTTAGAACCTACCACGTTATTGCCTCTGGGCTCAATGCCTGAAAAAATGCCCCTATTTCATTTCCTTGAACTGTAATACAGTCACTCCTGCTGGCATTAACCACTGAAAGCCAGCACTTAGGAGCACAACTATAGAACAGCTGCTGCACTGTGAGGAAAACAGGACTGTAGCTTAACTTGTTGTTTGACCTTTGCTCAGTCTAAACTCTCGTTAGCTGCATATTTACTCCCCTATCAGTGGTACTCACCATCATTTACTCTCAGAATTATCCAAAGTCCTGCACTTTTTTCCCCCAGTAGTGTTGAATCCATCTAAAAAAACAGATATCGTACTGCATGGTTTCTGGCTATGCGTATTCATGTAGCACTGAATACAATTTTCCATCTAGGCACAGAAATGAAATCACTTCTGTAGTGATTTATATGGTGGTTTTTTGTTGTTTTCTTTTTTTTTTTAATATAAGTTCTCTTCTGGGACTACAGCAACAGAAAAATATGATAGAAGAAAATACATTTGGAATGAACTAAAACTGGTGAAGGAAGAGTGCTTGATTCATTTTAGAGGAGTTCTGTGATCCTAAAGTTGTGTAAATGATAATGTGAAAATCCAGCAGCCTCCTTATTCTTTCTGTTGTTCAATGAGGTGCTCAGTTTGCTTTGGGATTAGAGATGATAAGGAAGGCTTCTCTTTGAAAATAGAATAGATGTTTCTTGGATATTAAGATATATGAAAAAATATTATTTGAATCACCCGAGGCCACATAAGGAAAAAAAAAAAAGAAAATCTTTTTATTATAGCAAACAGAACCCCATATTGATTGAAGTTTTGGAATATCCTGCTAGGAATTTCTTTTCAAGCATTTTGGGTATTGCTGATAAGTTTCGGTATTATATTTATAATCATAATTTGCTAAATTAATCTATCAGAGTTCAGTCAAATTTCTAGTTTAATTGTAATAAGAAAGATTCAGGAAATATTGAAATAATGAAATACTGACATTAAATTTTGAAAGAAACAGTTGCAAAGAAGAGTATATGATAGATTTTTAATTTTATTTTGTAATAAAAATATTTTCAGAGTTAGGATATTTGGACTTATAGACCACATTGTTAGAATGATAGAAATTATTGATACAAGATTAATTTATTTTTAAAAATAATTTATACACTTTTTAAGCTTTACTATACCTTTTTTAGCTGCTGTATCTAAACAAAAATTTATTATTAATTGATACACCAAAAGTGGCCTTTAGTGAATTTAAAGCTTGATTATTAGCTGTTTTGAAGAAGAAAACCTGAACTGCAGCAAACCTCTTAAAGACCATGTTACAAGAGTTAGGAATGAGGAAGCAGTTGGGAAAGCATCGGTACTGGCTTGAACCACAAAGAGACAGGTAGCTAAATTTGGCACATTCTTGGAGCTGATAGTAGTCTTCTTACTACAGTGCAGCTAAGAAGTGACAAATGCATGCATTATTGTGGGCTACCTGGCAGGAAAGGCGAAGTTTTCTACTGAGTTGGTCATGGAAGAAAGCCCTTCAGACTGAAATGCTACATGGCAATCCAAGATGAATAAGAAGTCAGACAACTCTGCATCACTTTGACAAATGCAGTCAATACATGTTTTTATAGGAGCTGGAATGAGGGGTAACTATCTGTTACAGGATTTTTCCTTTTCAAGAAACATCAGTCTGTCTACAGCTTAGCTTAAACTTCCTTCCCTTTAATAGCTGATCTCTTCCAAGCCTTGTTGCAGTGGGTGTACTAGTGACAAATGATCCATTTAATAAACTGATGTCTTTTGAGACTGTAGCTCTTCACTAACATGCTGCCATGTGATCATATAAAACTAAAATAAGCATAAGGATATTTTTTACAATTGTGTTGTCACATACATTCTATTACCATTTTATTGCATTTAAATCTTAAATTATTTATTAATTGACTATGAATGAGCTACATCTTCAGTTTTATGTAGAGAAGTACAAGCCATTATGAACTTTGCTTTTGTGACCTAATGAAAGTTTTTGTTATTGTGTATATCACAGTGCTAATTATATGAGTTCAGAATTAATATCACTCATACTCATCTTCTAATTGGGTGGAATATAAACATCTGTGTTCCTGACAGTGTTTCTCTTTAGCAGTTACATGAAAAGTTTATTTGATGACAGCAATAGAACGATTATATTAAATATAAGTTGAAATTAATGTCTACTTCTATTACGTCAAAAAATTTACAAAATCTCTCCTAACAAGAATGCAGAGTTACTGCTGTATGATAAAAGAAATAGTTGCATAAAGTCATTAAAGGAGTCATGCAGACAAGAGTCGCTAACTGCATACATTAATCTAATGAAAATGGAAAGCAAAAATCTCCTAACTGATTCATAATCACTGATGTGGCAGATAAAAAGATCACTGATTAAAGGTTTGATCGTGGTGGAAACATTATGGAGATGTGTGTGACACGCTGACAATATAAAATAAAATTCACTGAGTGATATTTACTTGCATTTTAGATGATTTTGTCACTTCCAAAATGCTTCTATGAAATTATTCATCAGTCATTAGTTTAAACAATATAGTAAAATACTTTTTAAATGTGATGTGGATGTTTGGCAGGTGCATTGTGTAATGAGAGTGTAACTTCCAAGATTTTTTATCCAGTGACTGGAGCAATTTTATCATCTGCAAGTAGTTGGTATTTAGAAAGGAGTGGGACTTGTCTTTCTCTATTTAGTGATAGCATGTAGAATCTTGGTCTCGATGAATTTCTGGCTTAGTATTTGTAGAATCACAGAATGGTTTGTGTTGAAAGGGATCTTAAAGATCATGTAGTTCTAAACCCCCTGCCACAGGCAGGGACACCTTCCCATAGACTGGGTTGATCAAAGCCCTGTCCATCCTGTCATTGAACACTTAATCTTTCTGTGCAGAAGCATATGGCTTGCAACTGCTTATAGAGTAGGTTATACAGTGACTTCAGGTTTATACTACAGTGCCATGGTCAGGACTGTGACTATATAGTGTAAAGAAATTGTACCAAAGAGCTACATTATAAGGGTTTCAAAAGAGGATTTTGAGCGTGGACCGTTGCATAGCTACTCAGGTACCTAAATAACTTGTCTGAAGATAACAAATTCTTTAGTCTGCAATTATTAGTATTTTGAGGATCAAACTCAGATTGCATTACTTAGGATACATGGTTTATCGTGATTTTAAGGTGCAATGTGTGTCTCTTTTCTCATATTGGCACATAATGTGTTGCATTGATGAGAAATTCCAAGCTTGGTACTCCAGTAACAGGCTTCATAGTTGCATAGTTGGAAAGGGTAGAAGAAGGTTGAGACATGTTTTGTAAGGATAGTTGAGGACAGTTATTCCCCTGCCCTTATTAGTTTCATTTATTACCAAATACAACAGAACCAGTTTTTATCTTAATATAAATTCTATGAATGCATATCTCAAACTACTACACTAAAAATGGCAGCATAAACCTAATACTAGGTAATATTTTTTTCAAATAAAGGGTAAGTACTTACAGAAACTCTTAACTGCAGATCGAAAATTGTTTCTTGAATATAACATGCCATTTATACAAAAGAATGATCTTAAAGCATACTTGAAAGGAATGCAGTTATTTGCCTGAACTTATTAGAGCAAAGACAGCAATGGCAGCCATTTTGATGGAAAACTGAAACTCCCCTGTAAGTAAATGTGAAATAGGGTTTCAACAATGATAGAAGCTTGATAAATTTGCACTGTACAAAGTGAGCTGCACTGTATAAAGAATGAAATAGAAGTTTATTTAGAATGGATGAGTCACGTTATAGATATACTGCTGGTATTCTGTATACTTTCAAATGGTGTTAATTTCCTTTTTACCAGTTTTAATTTATTGAAATTAATAATAATCTTTGAGGTTACAGTATATTTACACAAACATTTTTCATTAATCATAATAATTGACAAACCTACATTAACTCAAAATGTTGAAAAATCAAGCAATAACTTCAGGATTCCTTCTTTTCCTTTTTTTAAAAATGATTTTTTTCTTTTAGAATTGGGTAGAAAAAGCAGAGAAACAGAAACTATTGTCAGACACCCTTGACCTTTCAGAGCTGTTTCATCCTGACACATTTCTCAATGCCTTACGCCAGGAGACTGCAAGGTGGGGGAAAAATATTTGTGCTATTTGTGTATACCATTGCTCCCTGTATGTGAAGATGGTTATTTAATTTTCAGGACACAGATGCAGCATGTTATGCCAATTGCTATAATTAATCATCTCATTTGTATTTCTTGCCTTGAAGCAAAATAACTGTGAGTTACTTGTATAAATGCTGACTGGTTTTTTTTTCGATTAAAATGAAGATGTATTTTTCTTCAAAGTAAGAGTTAGTATGATATGGTGCGCATTGAAAATGCATTGGGTTTAGTTTTTTGTTTAATTTTCTGTTACATGTCTAAGATTTACTGTATATGTGTTTCCTTTGCAGAGTAATGAGCTGTTCAGTGGACAGCCTTAAATTTACAGCTTCATGGAAAGGGCGAATACAGGAAGGCAAACTCCAAGTTAAGGTATTTTACTGGGATGTTTTACTAGAATTTTTAGGATGTTTTGTTAGCATAGTCCAAGTCATCTGTCCATAAACTTTCTGGAAAACTAAGGCTGGTCAATAGTATACAGCTACAAAAGTGGTTGACAAGCCACAAAAATTAGAAAAAGATGGCAGTATCTTTTTTATCCTCCCTAGTCATAGTGCTCATTTAAAAATTAAGCTTATTCTTGCTTTATTTTCTTCAACCACCTCTTAGATAAAAATTGAAGCTGCGATTCCGTTAGTTAAAGTCTAACTCTTCTCCAGAAGGACTTGTGTCATGTAGCAAGGGGAAATACACATATAAATCGGTCAAAGGCCATACGTTAGCATTTGTTGAAGCACTGAAAAGAGACCTCTAAGGAAGTAAGCCAAAGTACACTATGAGATGGCTAGTTTTTTATATGGTAACAACTCGACAATTTTTAAATTAATTAACAATTTAATCTTAGGCCTACAGCCAGCAACCATGAAGTGACCACTGATTGCTTAGTCAGCAAAGTCTGGTTTAATTTAGCTTCTTAACATTTCATGTAGAATTGCCACTTTGGCTGAATCCAGATCTCTGTGCACCTTTTTTATACCTAATTTTCTAGACAATTGACAAATAAGTTTTCTACACTATGTGTTCCAACAGGTATGTTGGTCCCATGATAATCCTGCACAGCTCCAAGTTCTGTGTTCAGCATAGAGCAAAGCACTTAAAACTGCATCCTCACAGAAACACGTGACTAACGCAGGGCACTCACCACGTGACTTTTTTCCTCATGTGCAGCTAAAGCAGGCAGATTGCTAGACTAGGAAAGCAAGTGGCAGGGTACATTCTCTAGTCTGATAATGCAGGCAGACAGAAAGCTGTGGGAGATATTTGGGATCTGGGCTGGCTGCTGACACTGTCTAAAATTATTAATACAGAATGTGTAAGAATTCATATTCCTAAAATCTTAATAGATTGTAAGGCCAATAAAGATAACTGTAATCATCCAAACTGACCTTTATACAATACAGTCTTTAGAACTTTGTTGAATTAATTCCTGTGGAACTAGAGAATATTCTTTTGAGAATTATTCAATCTTAGTATTTAAGTAAGAATAATGGTTGCCTACTTCATTTAATGAGAAACAGATAGGAGTCTAGAACTTGGACATAAATAAACCAAGGGACTTTTAGGGCAATTCAGTTCCTTGAAATAAACCTGGTATATGACAAACCTTGGAGACTGCAAATCACATGTTCCGAGGTGACAGATTCATCTAAGACTTCTACCAGTAAGCCAAAACTGAGTTTCACACCTCAGACCACCCATTCTAGTAGGCTAACTATCAGCTGTAGATTCTAGGAGCCTGAACTTCTTCAAAACCATCCTAACATCTTTGAAATATGTCAGAAGTTGATGTCAAATACCTCAACTCCATGCATGAATAATTTTACCTCAGTATTTTCATATATTAAAAATAATCTCATTATTTTACGGTTGCAAGATTGAAATAGTTGCTTGGAAAATAAAGAATTAGAGGAAAGAGTTTTATAACAGTACTCCAGTTGTTATTAAACTTCTAATTGAAGCTTCTACTATGTGAAAATTTATGTGGTAAATTTTTGGTAATACTAGTTAAAGTATACTGTTAGCAGTCTATGTCATATGTAGGCAAAAAGGTTAATGTATATTCTCTATTGCCTTGCAAGAATGAGTCTTATGTTCCAAGAGGAACCAAAAAGAAAAAGAGAATTTGGTTTAAGAGCAAATTCTCTGCCACAGGAATAGTACAAGCAGTTAGACGAGTGGTTATTTTTAACAAAACATAAGAATCCTGTCAAGTTTCTTCATTTGGTTTGAATATTATCTTTACCTCTAAGAGCAATATTCATTTAATCTCTATTAATAAATATTCACTAGTGTTTTCACTGCTCCTTTGAATCTTTGATGAACAGAAAGGCTTTGAAACCTGTTGCAATGCTGAATATTTAGATTCCTTACCTTTAGAATCCATCTTCATGCTCAAGGAAAACTGGAGAGAAACTTTCACATTAGTAAGGCTAAATACCACATGCACTGTAACTAGGGCATGAAAATGTCATTGATTCAGAAAAATCATTCTCTAAAATGTGTCTTGTTTGATAAGGATCCTAAGGATTGCACATTAGGCTTGGTTCATCTCAGCAGTATGAATTTTAAAACTGATAAAGTAAACATTGTATCTGCAGTTTCAAGAATTCAGGCTAACCTTGTGGAATGGGGAGCTATTCTGAGGAGGGACTCAAAAAAAATCAGTCAGCAGAATAGATAAGTCCTTATACACATGCTGTGGACAGATAGCTGGGACCTTGTTTTTATCCCACCTAAATCAGAAATTGTAGTTTACCAGACTCCCCTGCAGGAACCAGACCATAGTATAGGCTATTCTGAGGTTTATCAGTCTCAATTTATGCTAATGGTGCTATTTCACTTTGCGTGACTAATTCCACTGAGACACTTGATTCTGTACTCACATAATTGGGGGACTCTCTTTTAGGATATGGGAGAGTTGTACTCAAGTCCTTGAATCACCGAATATTTGATTAGTCTTATAGAATGTCTTTTTTGAAGAATTGAAACACATAGGAATGCAGATGAATTTAAACCTGATATTCACACATACTTTGTATAACTTTCTTATTCACACTGTCAGTTAGGGAGTGATTTGAAGACACGTTCTTTGAGATTTTTTTTCCTTGCCTTTAGTTTTAAAAGTTTTTGATGGCTTGGAATTTCTTCTTATAAGGAAAAGGAGTAAATTACTTTATTATCTGTATGATAAAAATGCTTTCTCAGTCTTGCTGTAATTTTAAAAAATGCATCATGCTTCAGCAGTTCTAGACATTTGACCCTTCTATGCCAAAAAATGCAAATAATATACCCTGTAATCATCTGTAAGTCAGAAGCATGCAGTGGTAGAACTGTCAGTGTACAAACTACAAAGTAGACAGAAGAACACTCAATCAGGCCAAGAACACACCTTAGTATGTATGAATTATCAAATCAGATGGTAAATTATCAGTGTTAATTCAGGTGATAATTTAGATGTATGATGTGGAGTAGATCTCTTCTAGTAGGATGTGATGTATATTTGATTTAGAATCAATCTGTGTAAAATTACACCTTCTTTAATATCCCTTCAGACTGATTTAACAAAAGGTACTGAAAATGTATGACTATTGCACCTTTATCACATACTGAAATGCAAATACATCTCTTCTGTTTACTTTGTGCACTGATTGTGCTGTTGTACAAAAGCAGGTAGTCATTCCTTCTGGCATTCCATTTTCTGTTATTGTAGAAAAGAGGGAAAGGAAGAAACATGACAAGAAATTATTTGGTAGTAAGTACTATGAGCTTGCGTAGAACTTAATATAAATAGTGAAAAATAAAAAATTATTGCAAGTCTCAAATATATAATATCAGTATTAATATTGAAACTATATACTCTTAGCAATTGACAGATATACTGTTGTAGGGCATCCTAAGAGGTCTTTTTTTACAGTATGCCCTCATCCTGAAATACCAATAAATTAATGATGGAGGCCTGTAGAGTTAATGAAGTGAAAATATGCCTTCCAGAAAACTGATGTAGTTTGCATCATTTCATAGGAAATTATGGCATTAATTGGTAAGGGAAAATTAATCGCAGAAATTTTGAAATTTTGGAAACAGACATGCTTTGGACCATGGTATCAGCACACTTTCTACAAATGTATTTTAAAAAAACATAGTCTGTAATGTTTAAAAATAACTGTTGTGAACTTGAACTAGTACCAATAGTTGTGAAATGCCAAATTCTTTGTAAGAATTCAAATTTTAAAAATTATGGTCAAGTCTAGCCATTACTCTCAGCTGTGTTGCAAAGATACTATGATTATATTACAGATGCTGTGAAATCCATATCCTTCATAGTAATTGTAATTTCTCTACAGTGTTTATCGTAGCAGTGAGCACATGGCTCTGGAGTACTCAGCCAGACAGTGTCAGAAAGTATATTGTTCTGGTGTTGTTGGGTTTTTTATTTAATGTCTTTTAATATTGCATCAAAGTAAAAATTTTGGTCTTAATCTTAAAAGGAGTTTCTAACATTGGTTGAAGTTTTCCAGGAGACCAAATGATATTATTCTATGTAACTATAATGTCAAAGGAACCACCAGTATCAAAAGAAGTAACGTGGAGTAGAAAGAGATTTTTCAATAGGTGACCCACTTCTATAAAAATTTCTTTTAGAGATATTCAGGATGGCCAGACCTTTGAACACTCCAACACTAAATTTTAAAACCTCTTCATCAGGCCAATCTTACCTCAATAACTTTGCCAAATTCATTTATTTATCAAATTAAACTTCATAACAAAATTCCCTGCAGAATGCAGGAAGGGTAGAATGAAGAACACAGGAGATGAATCTTTCTAATATTAGTGTGATAGGGCTAAGTAAGAGCTTTGAAAGCATTCAATCAGAAGTGTAGTGAGATAAAGTGTAATCTAGGACCTATGCATATAATAAAGTGAGGTCTTAAGTATCAGTGTTAACAACAGAGACCTGTAAGAAGGAGTCTGTGAGAAAGCCTCAGTATAATCATTAGTAAGACTTTCTTCCTTTTGTGCCATTTATGTATTTTTATTCATAATCTTTCTTCTTGGAAGACAGAAGTGGCACTGGAATGTGTATCGGCTATTGTTAAAGATTACTGACACCCAAAATTCTTTTTTTCTGCATAAAGCCAGCTTTTCCAAAATCTCTTTGAAGAGGTTTTGAGTCTGAAAAGCAACAGTGGAAAATATCAAATGTTAACTTTGTATCTTAAAAGCAACATACCTGAAAAGATCACAATAAACTTGGCGGGAGAAGTGAGAATATTGTCACATTTTCATAACGAAGAGCAGACCTTAAGCTTTTGAAAAGAGATTGAAGGAGAAAAAACGTTTTTGCAATTCCAGATAGTAAGTATGAAAAATGTAATTAATTTCACTGAGGGCTTCTTATAATAATTTGTGGAAGTTAAAGTTAGACAAAAAGTCATACTACTATGAACTTTCCATTTGGGGTTGTTTTGTTTCAGGTTATCCATAGTTTTGAAGGCTTTACTGTAAGTTCTAGTCTTTATGGAGCACAGATTTCTCCAAAGAGTATTGTTGACTTCTCTGGTCACTGTCCAAGGAGAAACACAGCTTTGTTCTATATATTTTTTAAAAACCATGTTTCATAACCATTTTTTTCATATTAGAGTATGTACATCTGCATTTCACACATTGTAAGGATGAGTCCCCAGATGAGAGTTAGACAAAAATATAAGTTTAAAGAAGAAAATTCTTGAAGAGTGTAATGCCTGTCTACAATCAAAAGAATAATTAGATATTAAAAATGCAAAATGTAATCTTAGCTAGTACACAGTTAGTAGACAATTGACAAAAAACCCCTAACACCTGGGAGGAAAGCATTGCTTTGCAAGCAGGACAGTAACCTCCATTGTGTTACTGTTTAATTCCAACTTTTCTCATCAAATAATTTTAGAATATTAAAATTACCTAAGAAAATTGTTTCCGTTATATCTTCTATGATACTGATCTTCATTGAAATATCATACTTTAATCCATTTTAAAAATCTGGTACACTTTTTAAAATTTCTTGCAAGAGAAAATGTATTTAGGAAATGGTATTTTTCTCCATTTTGGTTATGTGGTCACTCATTCAGTTTACAACAGCATTCTGTTTCTTATTCCAGCACTGCTTTGTTAATCTTGCATTTGGTGAAAGCTGACCTCAGTATTACAAATTTGGTTCAGGGCTTTAGTATGATAATATAATAGACAGATGATTTTCAGACTGTGGTTTCTGTTAGAGATCTGCTGCAGCTTGAGTTAGCCTTTTGAAATGCTACATGAAAGTTAATACTGGGTTAAGTTTTATTACTGTTAAAATTGAAGTTCTCACTTCAGCAGGTAAACTGACAGATATTATTATTATTTATACTGGCAAACTACTATTATTTGTACTGGGAAAATGAAATGATCAACAAATATTGAAAATTTTAGTTAGAGGAAATCCAGAATAGATATCACTGTCACTAATTTATGGAAGACGTCAGTGAAGAAAAAAGGGAATGTTTAGTTCAGAGGCTGAAATTACTTACTAATCAAAAGAAAAAGCACTTGAAACATGTTGCATATGCATAGTTATAGAAGCATCTGTGATTCTTATTTTTTTGCCAAACAACAGTTAATCTGAGAAATCTTGAGTTTTGTTAAATAAAATTTTCTCTTGTGTTATTTCACTATCTTTTGTTTGCCTCTGCTGAAGCTGTGTAACCACACATTCCATTCTTTGAAAGCTGCGTTCAGACTTCCAAGCAGGAAGCCATGCTTATTTCAGTGATTGTTCTTCTCTTTTCTAGGCATTGTAATGATTGTGTACGTGGCTGTTGCTATCATAATTCCATTAATCTAATGCCAGGCAACTGCAGTTTCATAATTGATTACATTTACAGCTATTTTTCTCCTGCATTTTAAAGAATGTGAATCCAAATCAGAAGAAGTTCATGTCAAAGTGTGGTCCAGATCTTGCTTTTAAATCATGTTTCCTAGTCTCATGCAGAACATTCCAATAATTAATTTCCCGTTATTTAAAAATTTGATCACAGTAAAAAGGTTCATCATTTATTAAAGCACAGTGTAATCATTATTGACATTTCAAATCTGTTCTATATGTTTGAATATTTTATATTTCCGCGGCAGATCAGTGGCTTACAACTGGAAGGTTGCCGTTTTGATGGAAATCGACTTTCAGAAAATCTGCATGATTCTCCCAGTGTGTCATCTGTTCTCCCTTGTTACATGGCCTGGATTCCACAGGTACTAAATTATTAAAAGCCCTAAACTATCAAGACCCATAATTTGATTTCTTTTCTATGTAGTAGCTTTTCAGTATGATGTTGCTGACCTGTTTTCCCCTTCATTTCAAAATAAAAAGCCCAGTCTTTACTAGGAAAAGCAGTTACTTATTTTATTTAAAACAGGAACTTATTATAATTTTGTCGATATCTTTTAGCTTCTATTGCTTAGATGAAAGCAAGGACTTTATTTCAGTCATAGATTTTTTTCCTTGTCTTTTTAAATCATTAGCATATTTTCAAAAGTCTATTTAGTAAATGTGTAAATGTGTTTGGGATTTCATTCCTAGAATATATTTTCTTTGCATTTTAAACCTTGAATTAAAATACAACAGCACTAAAAAGGTAATGGTGTGAGCTGTAAGCAAAGAAAGCCTTTCCCCTACTTAAACTAATTTAAAAATATGTCAATGCTTGCAGATTTTAAGATGAAAGTGAAGTAATCGAAACAGTAAAAATTGTTACTGCTTCTGTCCTTCAATTATCATAGCAATATCTGATAAATAATGCAAAAAGTTACATAGAAAATATTCAAGGATGTGTCTTATGACTGAAAAAGAGCTTATTGTAAAATTCATCTCACCTAAATTTAGGTGTCTCCAAGTTAATTGCCTGGTATGACTTAGTCACCTTAGCTCCTTCTTTGGTCTCAGTAAATGCTAGGCGTCTCAGGAAGCCCATCCCATCCAAAGGTAACTGGGTTAAATCTCTGTCTAGATGTGACTCTAAAGACAGCCTAGACCCCTAACTCTGGGACAGACAGGTGAGGAGAATCCCACAGACACTTCTAAAAGAATATATATTAAGACTTTCACACCAAAAATCAAGTGAAAAATAGAAAGTGAGAAGTAGGATGAATGCAGTTTTTTTCCCACATCCTGTAGACATTAATTCATCAAGCAAATGAATTTATTAACTGTAGTCTATTATTTGGCAATCCACATAATTCAGCAGTTATCTCTTGAGAAAGCTAATTTTGGTTAGAGGACTGTCAAAAAAGAGTTCACTGGGCCAAAGAAGTTGAAATTTCAGTTAGAATTGAATTTATTAATTATCATAGATTAGGACAATGATTAGATTTGTCATATATTGTGATAGATATTGTTCAAGGAGTTCCATTGCTATCACACTACTGTATCCCAACTTTTCTCTCATTGTTATATCCTGCAGTGGAAGTATACCATTACATTATAGCATAGCAGCACTGTACGAAGATGTAGAGCTTGAACACCGCAGCAAATGCTTGCCACCATTGGCACCACCGCTCCCAGCTTGGATGGGATAGAAAAGACTGAAAATTTAAAAAAAAAAAAAAAAGGACTGAAAACTAAAACACAAAACCTGTTACAAAGTTGACCAGTGAAAGATTTTTCAGTTCTTCAGTAGTTGATAAGGTTTATTTTGTTTAGCTAAATAAATAGATTTGTAATTTACTTGAGAGGTGGTACATGAGATAAATATGGAATTGGCAGGCACCTTAATGTATTGGCTCAGAGGTAGATGTAGAAGGGTGGTAATATGCATGGTTTTCCATGGTAACACCAAATGGAAAAATATTGGAAATTAGTATTGTAAGTAGCCTTCCCATTGTTCTGAAAAACATTAATCTTGTCTTAGAAATAAAACAGATTCCTAAGTATTTTTCTGAATAACTCTATATTTAATAAACTTCAAAGATAAGATCCAAAAGTTGTGAGATCAGCAGAGAGCTTTATCTATAAAATATAAAAGTGAGATAGTTCAATAATCAATTAATCAAACTTCTTCCAATGTACTTCATATTTGAAATGAATAGCAGCTGAAGTCTTTGTGCTGGAAAAAAATATAGTTCTTATAAAACACATACCAGAAGCTGTCAACCGCCCAGATTTTAAATTCAAAATGTCTCTAAGGAAAGCTTTTCTGAACTGTTCTACTCTTAACGTGTTTTGCTATGAGCTTCACTGTAAAAATTGACCATAATCAAACACTGTGCTCAGAAACCAGGGCAGAATTGGACATTATGCATTTCCCCTTATTTCATTACCTCTCCTTAGCAGAAGAGTGCATAAAGTTGAACATATTATCTTAGGATTCGTAGGTTTTGAATTTGTTTTCTTTTCCCCATAAAATCTCTTCTTAAATCTAGTGAGCAAAAATGTATGTATTTATAATGCAATGCTTTGTGGTAATTTTCAACTAAAATAAAATAAACGTGAACTCTCTAAAAAGAAAAGGAAAAAGTAGCCTACATGATTTCTCTGAGAGAATCCCCTCAAAATGCTGCAGTGGAATATTTTGGGCTACTAACATGGTGCTTATTCTCATTAAACTGTGAAGGTCCTTTCCAGTTTTAATTCGCTGATAGATCCCAAGCTGTGAAGGGTGTCACTAAAGGGGATGGAACTGTGTTTCAGGCAGTCTGACAAAAGAGGATTTTTGGACTGTACTTAAGCCAAGGACATAAGGATTTGTGGTTCAAAAAGACTTTCACAGAATGGTGTTAACTCTCAAATAATGTGATTCCTTAAAACATCAGTGCGATTGAGAAAGGCGCAAGAACAGATATTTTGACCCTAGAAGGTGTAAAAAGAGGTCTTTGAAGGCAAACTGGCTGACTTTTGGCTCCCAGCTTTGGCAAAACTTAAATTCTCTGATTAACATTTTAATCTCACACTGGCAAGTGTTTTGTCTGTTTCCCTTGGTTCAGTGTTAACCAAGGGATAAATGGGGTAAGTATAATCCTTCTGAGAACAGCTGAACTCTCTTTACAAACTTCTGATTATTAAGTTACTCTATAGAAATATTACAGTGCATGGACTTTCTGTAAAGATTTAAACACTGGTGTCCAAAAGGCAGGGGAAGTTGATTTTCAAAAGGGACAACAAAATTCTTCAGTAATGGCAAGGCATGTGCTTTAAACAGTTATTGTTTGCACATTTTCTTTTTCCTGTTTTTAGTTATTTTCCAATATTGGAGCATCACTAACTCACATTTGATGTGATTTGCATTAAAATGACACATTTTTATTTTAAATTCCTTTCTGACAAGTGTGCTGCTTTGTTACTTGGTGTTTTAAAATCTTCTGACACTTTCCTATTGACAGGAAGGACATTTTGAGTATGATGGAAAATGCACTTAATATATATCAGTTCAGTCAAACCCTGAATTATTTGCTAAATAAATACATAATTGGTTGAAACCTAAATTACATGCTACAGGAGTCTAGACTGAGTCTTTGAGCACAAATCTATGGTCACACATATGAACAATGCCCTGTGCAGAGGCCTAGGAGGAAACTGCATCCAGGTCGCACACAGTTTGTGGTACAGACAGTGAAGAGGAGCTGTTCCTGTTCTCAGAACAGGGCACCTCTTGTTCATCAGGACACACACTGAGAGATAAAGCCATGGCTTCAAACAAGGTCCTTCCATGAGTAGTGTTACAATATAATTTTAACTGTGTAAATAGCAGTACTGCTAATGCTGGGTGAAGTACATGTATAGGAGAATAAAAATTATAAATTAATTCAAATGGAAGTTCAAAGCTCTCAGTTCAAATCTGTATGCTTATAGTTAGATTGATAATTTCCTACTTAGGCATTTAATGCAATTGGCCTGTTTTCCATAAGTGCCAGAGAACCCGAACTATGACTGTGATCAGTATTAGTAGCAAGGGCATTAAAAGAAATAAATAATAATAAAAAAAGGTCAGTAAACTTATCTTTTTTTCTCTTTTTTTTTTCTTTTCTCTACCGTAACTATTTACATGTTCCTACATGTCTAGAAGTGCTAAAAGTATTTGGAAAGGACTAGGGAATTTAGGCTTTTTGTTTGTTTAAGTTGTGGTTGAACTAAACTGTGGGTTTCTCTCTGGGTTCCTCTTAATATTGTGCATTAAGTGCAGGCCCTGTGAGACTATAATGTAAGGTATAGTAGTTCTCTCTGTATCAGAGAACAATTTTTACAATTGGATTCCATGATGTTAGAAATCATTGTTTAAATCCATAAAGTAGCCTGAAAAGTGTGGGCTAAGATTTTTTTGATTGTATCTCCTGAAATATCCCTCTTGCAAATATCTCAGACACAGGTCACAACATGGGCTGTGTCACGGGAGGAGCACAGGGTTGTGCTGCAGGGATGGAGGAGGCAGAAGGGCTTGCCAAGGGCACCGGCACTGCCCACACCAGGACTCCAGCCTACCAGGATTGCAGCTCCATGCAGTACAGCACGAGTGCTTCTGAGGGGCCTTCTCCCTGCAGGAAACTGTTAGCAATTCCCTTTGCCCTGGTTTGCAGACACTTTTGAGATGTAATTTTAAAGGGCGATTTTTAACTGAACAAAGATTTTGAGATGTACTTCACAGGATCACGCCTGTTAGATACTTCCTGGAGTTTTAGTTATGGAGCTAGCAATTTTTCTGAAGTCTGCTTTGTTGGTAATCCTTGGTAATCCTTCTCCTTTGTCACCTGGACCAAGACTTTCCTCTCCAAGGCTGTAGTGTCTAAACTGTATGTTAACTTTAGATACCAAACCATTGGAGATTATTGCTTTCTCATGTTTTGTTGTATAAGTGGTAACTAAGTGCTTGCTTATTGACAGGATGCATATGGTCCATATTCTCCAGAGGAATGCATATCTTTACCAGTCTACACTAGTGTGGAGAGAGACCGTGTGGTGACAAATATTGATGTACCTTGTGGAGGAAACCAAGACCAGTGGATTCAATGTGGCGCTGCTTTATTTTTAAAAAATCAGTAATGTGAAACTGCATTAACTTGTGAAGTTAAGAATCATTTAAATATCTAATTTCTTACTTATTAGAAGAAAACTTTAGATTTATCGCTTTTGTGTTTTTAAAGCAATGGTTTATTAATTCCTGTTTATTTTTTTTAAGATATATTGAAGTAATTCTACTTGAATAGAATTTCATTGTATCTTTGTGGGATATTGTAAAAGTTAACATGACACTATTCAGCAAACTGCTAATTTGTTGTTTTTTTTTTTTCTCTAGATTGTAATGTGCTCCATTTCTTTCTCAGACTTGCTGAAATCTCTTTTGTTCTGCCCAGAAATATTGAATATTAGCTCATAGTCAGCATTTTTTCTTTGATTTTTTTTCATTATCCTTTTGGAACTCTTCTTCATATATCTCTGTTATTTAATAAAATAAAATTATAAAACCTTCTGTAACTGAAATTGAATGTTTTACTTGAAGATAAAAGTCAGGATAAACATTTCATTCTGCTTTAATGACGTTTTACTTGTAATTATATTCCTTTGTATTGGTAGGAAATAATAGGATCGTCATAAACTTCAAGTGAAGTTACAAATTCAGTTAGACTACTATCACAATTGCTATCTAGAAGTTACTGAAAAAAAGTATTTATGAAACTGTGCTAAATTTCAGCAAGAATGTTCACATAAAGGCCCAAGATAGAAAAACAATTCCTTAGACAAACAAAAGAGGTTTTCATCCAATTATTAAATGAATAACAGAGGGATATAATAAATGCTTTTGATCTGTGATGCGACAGATGCCTGGAGTCTTGTTCTTAGTGCAGGATACTCGTTTGATTTCACTGGTTCATGATGTATCATGTTGGGATGCTGACATAGCATTGGTGTGCAATTAGACAAAATCCCAAAAGAAGGAGGAAACCCAGAACCCAGCAGGAAGCAGCATTACTGACGAATCATAAAGTCTCAACATAAGAATTGAAAGTGTCTAATTTTTAACTGGAATTACAGAGTCACCACGTGAAGATATTTTTAAAAGCCAAAGGCAAATAAACACTTTCTTAGTTTGCTTAGAAAACAAAATAGATGTCTTAGCTCTGATATATCTGATATATTTTATATTCATTTGGAAGTAGTATTTAAATTAAGACTATATTTCACTTTCCTGATATTTTTCATTGATGGCTTGAAGGAGGTAGAAGTAAAGCAGAGAAAAGATTGGTCACATCTCCAGGTCAACTTCCTGAAGAAACTATTTTTCTCTCTTCTTCTCTATTGTTCATTATTTAAACTTGATCTTTTGTCTCTATTTAGAAAGTTCCTACTTTAGTTGTTCTTCTAATAAAAAGCTGTCCTAAAATAATTTGATACAAGTGCACATGCATTTTTGAAATTGAATCCTGTCTAAAAGAAGACTAGATTTATGTGATACTTTTCAGATAATTGTGTCATCTTCCTTTATACATTTAACTCTGATTCACTGAGGAGTAAAAATGTAGCAGATTTGGAAAAGAGTTGTCTGTGAGGAAAATTTTGGAAGAAAATGACAAAGTCTCCAACAGAACAGCAAGCACTTGTATAAATGTATGCACGAGCTTTGTGAGAATTTACAGGGTGATTTGGCCAGAGAAAGGATTCTGCTATACTAGACTTTCTTGGAGATGAAAAGTTTTGCTGAAGGCAACTTGGGCTTTCAATTCCCCTAGACACACGTAAAGAACACGTTGAAACTTCACCTTTTGGTCCAACGTTATTCCATAAACTAGACTGGATTTCAGCTTTCATGTATCTCAAAACTGAGGGATCAACTGACTCTTATTAGTTCTGGCTTCTCTTTTGTGGACAGGTAGAGAAATACAGATACTCAGCTGTTCAGATAACTACCTATGTTAGGGCAAAGATGTCTGAAAAGTAATACATTGTATTTTAACCTAACTTGCCCGGAAAGTAAAGACCGGAGATGTAGTAGGTGGCTTTGATGACCCATCTTGCTTGTTACAGAAAAGAAAAATGTACTTTAATGAGTTGTAGAAACTCTGAAATAAATCATTAGTAGAACCTTGTGGGGATTTTCATGTTTTAGTTTGTGGGGTTTTTTTCCCTCTCCTAATTGTAAGCTTCAAATGTGCCTTCCATATTGCCAAGTGTAAATATAAATATTATTTAAAGTCTCTATTTTCAAGTCTCCTCTTTGTATATATTTAGTCAGGAAGTCCTTACTGATTCTACTAATATTCAGATATTGATGTTGTCAGAAAGAACAGATGTAAAAGCGACTCCTCCAGACCTACCACACTATATTTCTATTGCAGGGCCAGGTACTGATTCAGTTTCTTACTAATAGCTTGTCTGATAGGCCATGTCAGAATTGGCCTATCTCTGGAGGTTTGTTACTTCTTCTATCATTTACTTCTACCACAGATTTAGAACTGTGTAATATTTCTCAGCTCACAGCATCAGGAGTTTTGTTCTCAGGAGATGCATTCATGCATTTCTGTCGGAGCACCTTCTCTCTCTTGAGTGCAAAGTACTGTTAGCCAGCTTGATTAAATCTCCTTTTGTTTGGTTCTCCTCTTGGTTTAGAGCCCTTCCACTTTACTAGAACTGTCTGTTTGCTTTTGCTTTTTCTGAGACCTTCTATGAGTGATATGAAAAAAACCCCAACCTTCTTAATGTTTAGCTAGAGCATCAAATTATATTTTTATTTTGACAGAAGTCCTCTGGGAGCCTGTCAAGACATGTTACAGATGTAAAAGGCACTCTCTTCCTAGGTGTCTGTGATGTCTTTATTTTTTTCAGTATAGGACAAAAAACTGATTTAAATCCCAAACTAGTTTGTCAGCTTGAAATCTATTAGATTTTTAGTTATGTAGTATTTTCATCAAAACCAAAAAATAAACCAAAACCCTGAGAGCTGTATATTACATTTGCCATGTATTAAGCAGTATGCTTTATACTTATTTTGATTAAGTGATTCACTAATCTTTCTTTCTCATGTCTCTAGTTATAACCCTGATGTTTTAGATGGCTCCCAGGTGACCTAAAGAGGAAAAAGAATTTACTTCTCATGTGTTCCTTGATACTTATTGTCTGTTTGCCTTGTATAATGTGTTTTATTTCTACCCAATACTGCAATCTAAATGAAAGATGCTATAGGTAGCTGTTACTCTATATCATAGGAATTATATTTTTGGCAGTAAAAATAGAACTGTAGAGTGTTTATTACCACCAAAGTGCAGCTGTATTGCAATCATAGGCCATTCACAAGTATGAATCAGGAAACATAAGAAAGAAAAACACTGGAAATGCCTTAATGATCTGACTATGGTTTGAGGGAGTCTGTTCTGCTATTCAGTTTCAAGGGTATAGGAACTTGTAAGACTAAGTTATATAAAGAGATCCTAGAAAACACACATTACTGCTCTGTAAGCACTCTCTTTTGAATACTTGAGAAAGGCGTATATCTTCAGGAAGTGTAAATTGTTATCAATAGAAATCAGTGGCAAAATGCAAAGTGAAAAAACTTTTAAAGAATAGCAAAACCTTTGAAAATAATGAAGATTGTGCAGTAATATCTGAATGTCTTTAAAATACATTTCTTTTTTGTTTTACAAATGCCTTTATTTTATATGTTAAAATGAACAGTTTCTTCCTTTTACACTTTATGGCAGTCAAATTTCTGTCAGATATTGGTGCTGTCATCCATTGGAAGACATGCTGTTTGGTGCATTTAGCAACTTCACAGCAAGTCTGCTGTCACAGAGCATGCTGTGTTACCAAACAGAAAATTACGTGTTTGTTGAAGAGTCAGACTCACTTTCTGTTACTTGCAATAAACCACCGTTCAGAAACAAGACCTACAATGGTGATAGAGTACCTCACATGTTTTAGTGCTAAAGGAAAACTTTGGAGTTGATTAAAGATTTTTTCCCAGAAAATTTTTTAGAATTTCACTAAAATCCAAATGCTGCAGTAGAAGGCAAGTTATGCAAGTTATGCTGAGTACAAATAGAACTGATCGTGCAAATTGTCTTTCCCCCTTTGTTTCTCGATTTCAACTTTCAGAGACCAGTACTCAGAAGAGCAGTAATTTGTCCCCAGACAGCTATATAATTATTTGAGCTGAGGGGGCAGAAACCTGGAGTCCATGCCCAAAAGCATTAATAATAAATCATATGAGTTCTTAAACTGATAGACTGTCTTTCATTGACAAAAATGGGTTTAAGTAAATTATACTTAATATTGGTTACCATACTAAAAATGTGCAGGCTTGGCTAGGGCTAGAAATTCCTATAGGAAGTTTTACATAGACATTTTTAAATCCCTTTAATTTTTACATTTTCAATCCTTTGAAAATTAAAAGTGTGAATAAGAAACTAGATGTGAAAGAGTCTGAAGACCAATAAAGAGTGGGTCACATTTGAGAAAACAAGCTCACCTGTTGTGAGTTATTATGCTACATTCTCCTTTGAAGGTGTACAGCTTCAACTCGAGTTCTTCACAGATTAGAACCTTCCTTGGAAACCTGGCTGCCTGAGAGGCCATCCTCCTTCACCTCAGCTCATCTCCTCCAGTGTGTGATGCTGCATAACTCAGCCCCATCTCTTGTTCTTTTCATTTCAGCCACTGAAGCTGCTTGTATCAGAGCTCACTAATTGGATGTGTTTTAAGAAATGCCGGTCTTTAAGGTATAGATTTCTTATTTCTAGTTCTCATAACCTTTCTGTAAGATGCCTATAAAGCAATAGAGGAACGTTTTTTCACTTTCAGTATGTTTGGTACAAACAAAAAGACCTTTCACTTGTGTGTTTTAGAAAATCAAAACATAAATTGTTGTTACTTCTTTGAACAGCTTCACAATAATTGCTGTTAGTATAGACTGCAATTTGCCTCAGATCTAGTTCTTAGAGGATGATCTTTGTGGAAATTGGAGTGGTTATTTCCTTTTAAATTTAATTTAATTTGACTTAATTATAATGCATAAATAATCATGGTAGAATATACAGAAAGCTTTGCACGGGCCAATTCTAGAATGGGTGTGTAGGTATCAGAGGCTAGTCAATGCAAGAATTTGAGTATTAGTTGTTAAAATACAATATTCTACTTTTTTCTTATCAAACCCATCTGCATTGCAGTATTCTTGTCCAACACATAAATTAACTGAGAGCAGAAATCATTTGAGGACAGTGTAAATGCACTGTCCAGGGTTAATTCCTGCTTGATGATCCTGTAAAGGAAGGTGCCTGAACTGCAATAAGCAGTTGCCCAAGAAGGAGTACGCATACCAAGGTCAGATACGTGTACTCTAACTGCGAGCAGTTTCTACAGAAGGGTGAGAATTGCTTCTGGCTTTGCATCTCAGGAGAAAGCAAGCTGCCCCTGCTGTCTTCAGAAGTCTCAGATACATTCTTCATATCTTCCCCAGGGTTAAACTCACTTAATTTTACAGAGCAGTAAACATGAATCTTCTTAACAGGTCATCTTCGGGAAAAGTAATCACAATTATGAAGTGTTCCAGGTAGGTAATTTCATCATCAGAGCTGTATGACTTGTCTCAATCCCTGACAAGGTGAGTTTTCCTCATGCTATCCCACATGGTACTATTGCCATGCCTACAAAGGAGGATGTTTCATACACTTTTCTCTCTCTTTGGAGATCAAGAGGAAATGTCAATGTCTAAGAGCGTTTTTGGGATGGGCACAGTCATATCACTGTCTCCCACTAGGTGGTACTGTGGGCTAGACCCTGGTGAGAATCTGGCACAGGGAAGTTAACAGGGCTTTGGAAGACAATTTATAGTCTATATAATATTGCATCAGCAGTCTGTTCCAAAGGAAATTTTCTTATCAGCAGTGCTGGATAAGCATCTACATCTTAAAAAAAAGTGCTTCTGGTTAGTTGTGATGTGGTTGTTTTTAGAAACAAGTGATTCAGCAGATGTATTTCTTGGTCCTCCATGCTTTGGTTGTGGAAGTGGATAAGGTACTGACTGACCACTCTGGCCTGTTTGGAGATATTTCTCTACATTCTCAGTGTCTGGGTGGGAAGAAGGAACAGTGAGGAGAAATATGCCCTTGCATCATGGAAGGTCAACGGCTTCCTAGACTGCATCAGGCAGAGCATGGCCAGCAGATCAAGGAAGGTGATCCTTCCCTGCACAGTACTGGTGAGACACATCTGGCATTCCAGGCCCAGATAATTCCTCTTGTAGTCAGAGTTCCATGAAGAACTAGCAGCAGAAACAAGTGAGCTTATATAAATGTGACCCTTGCTTTTTTGCCCTCCATAATAAATGGGAAACAAACTCATCAGTAGGATTATTCACGGAAGGCACTTCACTCCTGGT